AGAATGTCTCGTTTCAAGGTGACTGTCACGTCACATTTGTAATATCTTTGGTGTTCAAGTGATAGAGCTGGAAGTGCCTGGAATATCCTTGTCAAGTTCAGCATTGTACACTTCACCTCGTTGTGTAGTACTGTGCCCAAACTATCACAGATTTTCTCCAATATCCGCCTGAAATTTAGTCGTCTGCTTTTAAGATGGTGGTCGTCGCATAACGCATTTTATATTGTGTTTTTCATAAAATCTTGTGTTCGACTTGAAATGAAGTAATCTGTGAAGCGTCGTATACATCAGTATTTCATTGTTTTGTGGTTTTCACTTCTGTCTTTGGGTAATCTAATTGTTCTCATACCTATTGGCAATATAAACAGCTTAGCCTAGCTTACTGAGCACAGTTATGCTTCACCACATCAATCCACCATCATTATGAGCTGGCTAAATCGCTACGATGATATAAGAAGAGAATTTGAGGACTCTTTAAAAGTGTGATTGAATTGTGGAATAGTTTGTTTCTTTTGTTGATAAAACGCAGTATGATGATTCCATCACAATTTATTCATGATCATATCAAGGCGAAACGTGGTGATTAAATAGTACTCCATTAATATGTATTTTTATCAAACGAAATTATTGCATGATGAAACTAAACCTGAATGTTATGACAGGCAGTTAAGAATCTCACTTATATCTGATGAAAGTTAGTTTTGATGAACATTGCACCAATGTATACACAGTTTGGTATCGCGTAGTAGACCACAGTAATTTGACAGTATTACCAATGAACCACACAGTGTCAAAGTATTATTTTCTATGGACTACATCTTGAGCACAGCAAATCCTACCGTTCACCGTGTGTTTTGTGAAGGTATATTATTCCACTAAAGAATTATAGTCTACAAGGCTGGGAAAATGCTAACTTCAATGACGCCGGAAATAGATGATCAAGATCGTCTGTCGTGAAGCCGATCAAGAGGATGAGTCATTAAGTTTATTTTTATCCTTATGTCAAACAGCTTTTCGTCACACATCCAAGTTCAGTGACGTCCCCACCATAAAACAGGTTAAACCTGTCTTATTCGTTCATTACAGTCCGATTAGATATTTCAGTGTATAGACGAAGTATAATGTGTAGGCCGTGTTGTTGACAAAACTGTGAGCAACGGGAAGAGATGTTGTGTCAGTCAATCAACGATTTTGTTTAAATCGAAACTGCTTGACATACAAGAAAGGCAAACGGAAATACACGGGGAGATTAGATATAACCCGTAGTAGGTGCGGTGTATTATTACTGAACAAGATGAAGAGTTTTTGATATAGTTGTGTTCTCTGAGTTGGATGGTTTATTTTCGAAGCTTTCATTGCCCTACTAGACAACATCTTCAGCATATACTTCAATGTGAATTGAGGCTTTGGATTTTCCCATGAGTTTGTACGTCGTCTCTCCTAATGACTTTGAAAGTAATTGGTTGTTGTTGTTTTCACAACCTGTAAGCTGCTTGTACTGGTAATGACTGTTTTCCTTAACCTGAAGTCTCATCTATGAAATTTACTTCTTATCGATTGGTATGTTAATGTGTCTATTAACTGACGATTCACTGGAATGGCAGGTTTCTGAAAATTCTCGCTCATTCTCGGTGTCTAATATTTGAACGTTGACCCAATCGAATTGATGTCCATGGTTGTCTGCACGCAGAGATATGAGGGAGCGGATTTCATGTCTTTTGAGGGCTAGTTTATGATCATGGATGCAAAGACGAAAGCGACGTCCACTTTGGCCAATGTGGTGTTTTCGCAGATGTTGCGACTAATTTTTCAGATGACATCGGTTAAATCTTCTTTCTCTTTTGAGTCCTTAGATTGACACAGAGCTAAGCAGAGTGATTCTGTTGGCTTGTGTGCGACATCATTTCCTCCTAAAGGTCTGAAGAGTCTCGCAGTGATTTCTGTTAACCTTTATATATGATAGGGCGATTTTCTCTCTGATTTCCTTGGAGGTCTTTGATTTGGTAGGCTGGCTTGGGGGTATATTTCTTCTGATGAAGTTCCGTGGATACTCATTCTTTTAAGAGACGTCCCTGAGGTATTTTCCTTCAGTTTTCCTTGAGTTAGGATTGTTGTAGTGAGTCCTGGCCCTCTTGAGTATTGTTTGTATACAACTCCTTTTGGGTATTATTTGATTGTTGCTGTTGGAACTGAGTATTCGGTCTGTATGAGTTGATTTCCTATAAACTTGAGTTTCTAATTTTTCTGTGATTGTTCGCCTGACTAGGACGTCCAAAAATGGGATTTTGTCTCAGGTTCCTCTTCTCTTTTGAATTTGATGTCGTTGAAGATGTTGTTTAAGTTGTGAGTTTTATACAACTTATATTTTGATTATTACGAATGTGTCATCTACGTAACATATCCAAATTTTTGGTTTGATCTTTGGTAGGATTATGTTTCCCAGTCTTTGCGCCACACCTTTTGAAATCAAACCTGATATGGGAGATCCCATAGGTGTCCCTTTAATTTGTTCATATATTTGGCCATTGAATTGGAAGTACCTCGTTAAGCATAGGTTTACGCATTCCATCCCTGTATGTATTCCATCTGATTGAGGCAAATACAGTTGTAACTGTAAAGAATACCATTATCTCTTCGCCATCTATTTGAATACCTCTGATTTTCTCTAGAAATTGAATTGCAGATTTCATGGAATGATCGCAGGAAACCGGTAAGTGTTTCAATCTTCTGTATAGTTCTTTGGACAAATTGTATTTTGCCATTCCTGGGAGTGATACAATTGGTCGTAACAAACGGGATATTTAGTTTGTGTATTTTGGGTCAGCCGTAGAATCGGGGTAGAACTGGTCCATTCGATTTAATTTACCATTAGTCTTGTTTTGTGATCTGGCCTAATTTTGATGAGTTCGTTTATGGTTCTTTGGATGCGATTGTCTAATGTTTAGATGGAATTTGTTTTATCTCTCATCCTCATAGAACAGGTTTTCGTCAAGTTCATTCGAACCCTTATCACCAAAGCCGGCTAAAACCTGTTCCTATTTCACTAATTATTCTCCATTACTTTGAAGCTGCCTAAATTCTAGCTCAATATGTTGTGCACATACATTACAACTATCGTTCAATTTACTTCACACTATGATCTAACTGAGTAATTTCTCCAATTGTCCATCTCATGTTGACTAGCACAAATCGATGGAGATTTAATGCTAACTTGGATCACTGACAAACTCAATAGTTCCGTGTAACAGATTGCTTGGAAGTACTATTGGATGACTGTTTTCAGATTCACTAGATGATTAGGACTGAGAACTAAAACAAGTGGTTTACCTATACTCAAGGGCGATACACTGAATGCTACGATAAGGGCTCAATATTACTGCAGAACATAAGGGTGAGCTCCTCGTCCTCTTTTGACAGCAGAAAATCTTCAGCCAATAGTTGATGCTCAATTTAATAGTTAAAGTTCCTATTCTGTATCCTTTTCTGTCTCAAGGTTTTCGTCACTAGAAAATAGTATTCTTCTAAGATTGGAAAAATCAATAAAATGCCATATTTTAAACGCGTACCATTTATAGATAGGGGGAAGCTTCTCCTACACTTACGAATAGCTGATCAATTAAGCTGAATTCGGAGATCATCACAATTCATTCTGACCCCTATGTGAAAGCACTACTTGCTATAACACGATATCTAAATACGCAAGATAATTCAAATCTACTTTTTGCATGACTTTTCAACAAAATGATAGAAACGTAAAATAAAATTTACTGTCAGCATATTTCATAACTACAACTGTATCAAGTGCTAAGATTTATTAGAATAACTGATACATTTACAAGATAGCTTAAAAACTGTTCCAAAGCGATCCCATTTGAAAAGAAAAGCTCCTACATTAAGCATAGCAAGCGTGCAGGCATCTAGGTCATGAGCTGTGGAACGTCACCAACAAATTCTCTACAATTAACAAAGACAGCAACTTTCAGTTTCACTATTTTACGCAATTAGGTTATTCTACTGACGCGATTGTTTTGTTTAAACTCAATGGAACGTCTAACAAGATCGTGTCTTTAGTTTTCTTTTAATGACCACGAAATTCAATTTGAATAATGGTATATCCGTTGAAATTAATCTTATTACAGCTGTCTTCGCCCAATACTGAAAATCATATGGCCAGCCAGAAAGGATTAGCAACATGAAACTCTGGGAAGGAAAACTAATCACGAACCTTACTGATCCACAAATATGCTGAAGGGAATGGAGCGGGACTAGACACATACTGGAGAGACAGTTGGATGACAGCACGCAATAGCCCTTCGAGTCGGACCCGATCGGGAAGCAACGAGGACACGAGGATGACATGGAGGAGATGATAGCGAATTGGCAATCGTGGGACAAGATAAAGAGAAGTGCAAAGGACGGGAAAACATTGTGCTTTGCTGTTTATTGAAGGCCTATGTGTGGAGTCCTCAAAAATAAACTTATCCAACTTTTACTACTATGTGAGAAATGAACATATTTACATTACTTTGTTTTAATCAGAATCTCTGTACTTTTGAACTTAACCTCGTGTTTTGAATGAAAATATAGTTCTGCCTACAACTCTCCGTCTTCTCCACCATCTCAACTGCCATAGACCATTTTAATCACCTGTCTTCTCTCCAAATTTCGCAGGGACGCCGTATTTTCTCCCTACGTTACCTTGGTCGACCTCTTGCAATACTGTTATTGGAGAATTAGGATTGGAGCAGTCTTCTCACAATAATTCTGGAGTCTACTACGTTAACTGTGGATATGGACCTTGTAATAACCCAAGTAACAAATTTTAATATATTCTTCCAGTAACTTTACGGATTTTGTATTTTTTTTTATTTCTATTCGAATTCGGGATAGTAAGCTAGCTAAGTCTAAGGTCCGCCACATATGTCCCACTCGGAACCCACAAGAATAATAATAAAATATGCGACTGTATTTAAAAAGACAAAAATGATTCATAACTGGTTGTTTTCATAATAATTTTATTTCGTTCACAGAAGGCGTAACAAACATTTGACAGGATTAAATTACAAATGCTTTCTTTATACATCTATAATACACTTTGGCCATAGAGACTTAGTAAAGAAATATGGTCAAAAGTTGTATATTATTGTGCATATACACATATGTAACTCTACTGATAACAAAGGCTTGAAAAGTAATTTTATAAAATGATCAGTTCATTTGTGTAGTTCAGATAAAGCATCCAGTAGATTAGCCTGTGAAACAAAATCTTGTCGGGCAATTTGAGCTTTCTGTTTAGCTAATTCCAATAAATTCTCCAAATCAGCACCACTACAATTCAATATACAGATAAAATGAAAGATTTACTTTCAATATCATGTGAATAACATTAACTAAATCACGTGGGTTTTCTCCGCTATATATATATATATATATATATATATAGGCAATGGCAAAGCTGAACCAGTCACAGTTGCATACCCAACACTTGACTCAAGTCAGTGGAGGAAACTCACGAATTGGTAGACGTTGGTACTCATGGGTTATTGGATCGGATTCGATTGGATGAATCGTAAACAAGCTGCCTTGCAACTAGGAGGTCCTCGGTTCGAACCCTAACGGGTGTGTAGTGATGAAGAGTCTCAAACTGGGACAAAACAGCTGTCCAGTATAAGCTGGTTTTCCAATGTTTCTCCAAATAATGTCAGTTTGTGATCAAACTTGAACTATATGGAGACAAGTAAGATTCCATCTAAGCTGTATTAGTTTCTAACACAATAAATAAGTCTTACGGATAGTTGGAAACAGGAATTCATGCCGATTAATGACTATATTGTAAATTAACTGGGGCAATGCAGTAAGCGATACAAAACACTGATCACTCTACAGACAAGCACATTACAAATGAATAAAAACGGGAAAGATGAAGCTCTTCGTAAAACATCGAAAAACCCATCTTAACAACAATTTAATTATGCTATCAATAACCGGCTAATTGGTATAATTAGCATTTCAAATAGTATTGACAGTCAAATTTTATCCTATAAAATGTCTGCTCAATCAGTAATAAGACATAGTTTATTGTTAAGGCTGTAATCAGTTCATCACATTTAACTGGGGCATCAACTTCGTTCGTTTATCCGTTTGTTCTGCACTCAAGAGATCTGTCTACCGCTACAAACCATTTAGCAGTAATTTTCAATTCACTAATATATTCAAACCAGCGACAGTAAAAGTAAATCAGAAAGGTACTAGAATACGTTTTGAGAAACTTTAAGATATATATATATATATATATGGATTGGCCAAACATTGAGAAAACTAACCATCAAGTGACATCACATGACAGGTCATCACTCGAGTGGAACCCAAACGGGAAACGACGAGTTGGTCTTCAGTGCAAGGGTGACTTGGAGGAGGTCATGTGAAGAAGAGATGAAAGCATGTGGGGAGACGTGGAGCCAAGTAAAACTTTGGCAGAGAACCAAACCAATGGAGACGTTAGGCTGGAGCCCTATGTTCCTCTAGGAACTAAAGGAAACAATAATACATTATTATAATTCCTTTAGGTTCTAAAACATAGGGCTTCAACTGCACATCACCATTTTTTCCTATTCCCTACAGTCCGCTCCAGCTGGCCCCACGATTCCCCCACACGATTTTCTCCATGTCACCCTCAGAGCCACAAGTAACTCATCATTTCTTATTCGCGACCCACTAGACGACCTGGCCCGCGATGTCACTCAACGGTCTCCTCAGCGTGTATCCGATCCATCTCAACTTTCTCCTGCAGTTTTGTTGAGCAATAGCCTCTTGATTGGCTCATTTCCAGAGCTGATTGTTTCTAATTCTTTCTGGCCATCTGAATTTTAGTATGGAGAGAAGGTAGCTGCTGGTAAAGTCTGAAGCTTTTTGAAAATGCTTCTTGTGATGTATTAGTCAAGTTTGTGACACACATTGAAGGATTGACTGACTGACTGATGGACTGAACAATGGTGTTGAAAATCCAAATTTTGTTCTTTATGATGAATATAGTGCAGAAGACTTCCAAGCTGGCTTCGGAGTGATGAAGGTTCGCCTTGTCTTTCCAATTCTGGCTTTGACATCTTTATCCGTTTAGCCTATAGTCGAAATGATGCTGCCTAGATACGCGAAGCAACTGACCACTTTTAAACCTTATTACGAAGCTAGTGATTGGTGCTTGTTGTTGGATGGATATCCTCATCAATTCCATCTTCTCTATGTTTACTTGAAGTCTTGTCTTCGCTGCTTCCTCTGCCAACTTGCCACTTTTCTCTGGCAATTCTTCGAGTTGGTGTGATATTAAACATCTATCATCCGCCAAGTGCTGACATACACGTATAGGACTTTACAGTTCTACCGTTCTACTGTTAGTCTGCGAATAAGTGTCTTTACAAAACTAATAGTGATTGAGAAATTACGAGTACTGAATTACTCTGGAGAAATAACCCTAATTACAGTTCAGAAAAAGAATATAAAAGTTGAAAATAAAAAACATTCAACGAATCATAACACAAAGAATTACCTCATTTTTTCAGTCCGTGAATCATTTGCAATCAATTCAAGAGTTAGCATACCATTCTCAATCCGAGGAGTTGTTGCTGATCGTGTACAAGCTGATAGAACTGAAAGACGTTCTCTAAAATTCGACGGTGGGCTAATCATTAGATGTAGGCCAAGGCGACCAGGACGAAGTATAGCCGGATCAATCATATCTTTACGATTTGTAGCGCCAACAACAAATACTCGACCTGATCTATGCTTATCAATACCATCTAATTCGACTAATAGTTGATTCACTAAACTAACTCGACTCCCTGAATCGAGATATGGAGAGTAATACAAAAAGAGGACAATTCATTTACAGGCTAACTACCAAGAGAAAATTACAGGAAATAACTGTTGACAAATGACTCTTAAACTTCCATACCTCTAATAAAAGAGACTCATGGAAAAACTCCGAAAGAGAAAACAGTAGTCCTCTATTTTGTGTTACTGAAATCAAAGCATTTGTGGTTAGTGTGCGAACACTACCTGTTGGCAATGAGGTATACTAACAATAAAGAATCTTATTCACTGCAAACATTTCCGGTTTATTGATTCTTCTTTCAAAAAGATCATGATGAGAAAATATCATCAAAGAATTTCTACGTCCTTTCAGAAAATAAAATATAGAGGTATACGGCAAACTTCTAGGTGTGATGGAGCAGATATTTCACACATTTTCAAAGTAAAACAGCTTCGTCTGCTTGACTGTAAAGTAATTACAGCTACGAAAAGATTATCTGTCTTTGATCATAGGTGCCTGCGCTCTATTTCCTGTGTGAAGTGGTATAATAAGGTGAGCAATATTGAGGTTAGGCGTCGAGTGCTAGGTAAGCAGGGGAAATCAATCGACGAAGTTGTGAAGTTACAAGACTGAGATGGTTAGGACATGCGTTACGTATGCCTAGTCATCGCCTTCCTCGACAAGCAATGTTAGCTGACATAGGGTCAGGCTGGAAAAGAGCTAGCGGCGGTCAAACCAAAACATGGCTTCACCAGTCAATGAAATCTACAACAGTTAGTCTAAGCCAGTCATGTAGGAGATGTAGACTTCCTGGTTGGGGTCCTCGGGACGGTAAAAACCAATGACTGGAAACAATTGGTGACACGGCTCAAAACCGTTCTCAGTGGCGCAGATGCATCCACTCCTTGTGACTTATGATTTCCAATGAAACTGTTCTGTTTTCGTTACTACTATTCCTTGTCTCACACCTCTGTTTACTGTCTCTGTTATGCATTCTTCTATCTTCTTCTCTTGCTTTGTGTGCTACAAGGAGGGAGTGTGGCGACTCGAACTGTCGCACATCGGTGCAAAGTTTTATGTTGAAAACAGACAGACAGACAGCTACGAAAAGTGATAAATATGTGTTGTAAAGATGAATTAGAAGAATTTCTTTCAACAAAAATGCACACAATCGATTACCTGTTGATTCATCACTATCTCGTCTTGGACAGATTGCATCTATTTCATCGAAAAATATAAGACATGGTTGACAAGCACGTGCACGTTCAAATATTTCACGAATACGACGTTCACTTTCACCTTGAAATTTATTTAATACTTCTGGTCCTTTAACTGATAAGAAATTAAGACCAGCTTGATTGGATAAAGCTTTGGCTACAAGCGTTTTTCCACAACCAGGTGGACCTTCAAGTAATACACCTCCTGACCGTCGATGCAATGCCTGAGCACGTTCCCAATCATCGATAAGAAGCTGTACATATGAAGAGAAAAAAGAACTGTGTAAAATTTCACAGAACTAATAGTAACGATCAAAAAGGGGAATAAGTGATATTTCAAAGTAATTCTGTGGATGGTGACTAGCAGCGGGATCCAGGATGCGCATCGCCCCCCCTATGTGGGACTCGTCATCTGGTTGCACCTGTATTTCCAGAGATTGATGGTGTTCCCACTGAGGCTCAAACCCAATACCCATTAATTTAAACGCCAAAGCGCTATCCACCACTTGCGCCACGACAGCCACTCCTTGTGACCTTTGTCAGTTTTTATTTAACTTTAATTTAATTTTGGTTTCGCATCCGCACAGGGAACCGAAATGTCAACAGAGGCCAAACATTTCGGTCCACTCAATCAACGGGAAAATCAAATTTGAATTAAAAGTAAACGATACTTCAACGTGTTGGTTTCTCAGCACCGGGATAGTGTAGTTTAGCTGCTTGGTGCAAGTATCTCACAAAAGTAAACTGTGAGGCACAACCAGTGTTTGGGACATAATACTGTCTGTTTGTAAAGGTCAATGTAAGCATGAGAGTTTCTACACGACACAAGTTAATAAAAAAATCATATCATTAGTTGAACTAATACTTCGTGTGCTTTCAGAAGTGTGTGGACGGTTGTTACTTCGCGGCTGCCCACACCGTGGAAGTTGATTGATTCTTCGGGTACCTGAAGCAGAAAGAGGGTTAGTGTTGAGTGACCGCAGAGCCCAGGGGACAACTGCTTGAGGCCAGCCGGTCACACACGGCCTGTATGAACTGGTTTCTGGGATTGGTTACGTATTAGCAAACTAACCGCCAGTTACGGACCACCGTAGGGTAAGTTAGGATGTACAATTTTCGGCGTCGACTTTTTCTAACCCCCTCTCACCAGAGTGGAGAGACAGCATAGCTGGTATGCTGGTCATCTGAAGGAAACACCTCACTGCTGTTACACTCCTGTTCCCCAGCAGTAAGACTTCGCCCTCAGACCCCCAGCATAGTGTAAGAAAGATTCTTACACAATGCCGGTAACTGCTTTTAGTCTAATCGCTATCCTAACAAACTTCCTGGCATGATAGGACCTGCAGGGATATTGGTTCCAGCCAGTGCAGCTTGTTGGGTCATCGCGATGTGCAAGTCCGACCACCACGTCAAGGTAGCAGCTATCGGCCGGGTTGAACTGATACGGAAAACGACAAGAACAATGGTTGGAATAGCCACAAGTGAAAACAATGTCATGATGCATTAGTGAGAATACTTGTTTAATTATGTTATAGACAAGACTGATACACTCATTTATCTGAAGTAACAGTCATTCTCAAGACCAAAATTCAGTTATTACCAGAAAGCAGAAACAGCTGTTTACTGCATACAGATACCACAGTTATTACACTGCAACCTGTCACATATCGTGATGAAGAAGATGTTTAAAAAATAAACTCAAATACTGATAGATAGTTTGGAATTGTACTTCACAAACCAGTGTGTATGCTTTAGTAGAATATTGTCACTAGTCTTTATGTAAGATGTCAATGCTGGTGAACATTGAATCGTTTGTTTGTTCGATCTGGTCTCCATATTGGTGGGAGACAAGAAGGCTGATATTGCGTAGTCGTGTACTGGTTGGCAGAAGATTGTACAACTACGATCAGATGTATTGTTGTACATTATATTGACGCTTATTTACAGACTTTGGCACTGATAAGCCATTTTAAATCTGTTTCGTTATTGCTTGAAGAATAAACTATCGTATTGCCCAACTGTTTTCTATTGCCCTGCGTCGGTCACAGTATTCTGAGTCTGTCTGTCTGTTTTCGACATAAAACTTTGCACCGATGTGCGACAGTTCGAGTCGCCACACTCCCTCCTTGTAGCACACAAAGCAAGAGAAGAAGATAGAAGAAATGCATAACAGAGACAGTAAACAGAGGTGTGAGACAAGGGAATAGTAGTAACGAAGAACAGAACAGTTTCATTGGAAATCATAAGTCACAAGGAGTGGATGCATCTGCGCCACTGAGAACGGTTTTGAGCCGTGTCAGCAATTGTTTCCAGCCATTGGCTTTTACCGTCCCGAGGTGCAGAGTCTTCTAAACACCTTGAGCCGTAATCTACGAATGTTTGGCATGCGATTCGCTCCCGCCAAATGCAAGATGATGTTACAGGACTGGACTACATCGACGCCTAGTTTAAAAATAGGAAGTGAAGTGGTAGAGCACGTTGACCGCTTCACTTATTTGGGAAGTACCATCAGCCCCCAACGGGTTGATCTCTGACGAAATCTCAGCAAGAATACAGGGGGCTCGTTTCGCATTTGACAGTTTACGCCGACTCTGGCGTAGACGAGATGTTCGACTATCGACCAAAGGGCGGGTGTACTGCTCATCAGTCCGCTCCGTCCTCCTTTATGGTTGTGAGACCTGGCCACTCAGAGTGGAAGACATGAAAAGACTAGCTGTCTTTGATCATAGGTGCCTACGCTCTATTTCCTGTATAAAGTGGCATAATAAGGTGAGCAATATTGAAGTTAGGCGTCGAGTGCTAGGTAAGCAGGGGAAATCAATCGACGAAGTCGTGAAGTTACAAGAACTGAGATGGTTAGGACATGCGTTACGTATGCCTAGTCATTGCCTTCCTCGACAAGCAATGTTAGCTGACATAGGGTCAGGCTGGAAAAGAGCTAGCGGCGGTCAAACCAAAACATGGCTTCACCAGTCAATGAAATCTACAACAGTTAGTCTAAGCCAGTCACGTAGGGAGATGTAGACTTCCTGGTTGGGGTCCTCGGGACGGTAAAAACCAATGACTGGAAACAATTGGTGACACGGCTCAAAACCGTTCTCAGTGGCGCAGATGCATCCACTCCTTGTGACTTATGATTTCCAATGAAACTGTTCTGTTTTTCGTTACTACTATTCCCTTGTCTCACACCTCTGTTTACTGTCTCTGTTATGCATTTCTTCTATCTTCTTCTCTTGCTTTGTGTGCTACAAGGAGGGAGTGTGGCGACTCGAACTGTCGCACATCGGTGCAAAGTTTTATGTTGAAAACAGACAGGCAGACAGACTGTCCCGAGGACCCCAACCAGGAAGTCTACATCTTCCTACGTGACTGGCTTAAACTAACTGTTGTGGATTTCATTGACTGGTGACATGTTTTGGTTTGACCGCCGCTAGCTCTTTTCCAACCTGAGCTGTTCTGAGTATCAGGCTTAGTCTTCTGAAAACATCGATAGGACCAGGATCTCTGTGATCTGGATATTGGACATGAAATAGAGTTCTGTTTTGAAAATCAAATGTACACCAGGTGACGAGGTTATATAAGCAATGAAAAAGGTGAGACAAAATAATATTCGAAAGAACCAAATGCGTAAAATAAGAATAAGATATTATCTCTTCCTTATCGATAAAGTGCATCTGTAGAATAATGGTATCTAAACGTGAAGAGAACAAATAAAATCTCTGTGACTAGAATTTAGAAGAATGGGCAGACAAGTATTACCAATCCGAGAAAGAATATTAAAAAGTATTCTGAAATGAAAGTTTTTCAACGCCTCCCTATAAACTGAATATATTCTCCATTACTCATAGAACTGTACACAAACACTCATTTATTCATACAATGATGTACAATGAACTTCAGATATCGGCTCAAGAAATTTAACTTTATTCAACATATTGATATACATATGAAAAACTTGGACACTGTAGTAGTATGTCATTCCGTATTAATTTGTTTATTGAATATGTGGAGAGAGCTATATACGGCGAACAACTAGACAGCTTAACAAACGCAGTAATGAGCATCTTCCTTCATGATTTGGAAAAGGTTAAATAACATCCATAAGAAGTTCTATTTTGGCTCATTTGATTGATAGCGGTCACCAAGTGGACAAAAATAGTGCCTTCAAAGTTATCGATCGCATTCCGTCGAGCCTTTCTAACGGAATTCGAATCCGTCTTTTACACTTAGCCGAAGCTGTGGGAATTCGAGAGAACAATCCTAGTCGTTGCATACAAAAGATGTTTGTTCTACCTTTGTCTCTCCCTTGACCTTGATGAATTCTATTGAAAGCCCTCGAACCCTTTCTTGTTTTCCATCGCCTTCGTATTTTCATGATATTTATTTAAACTCTGATTATCTGTCCACTTCACTCTTAGTATTACGTAACTTTTAAGATTTGACCTAATTTATTTATTGAATTGTCTACGTATATGCATATACTACCTTGTTATTTTTATCATCACCGGCATAAACCTTATTATCAATATTTTGTTATCATTATAATCATCGTTATTAATTTCGTTCAAAGCATTTACCACATTATTATTATCATCATTACTATTTGATCCACAAAATCACCGTCGTTGGTTAAAATTTTTTATATATAAGTCTATGTAAATTAGAGTAAAGCCTGAGGAAGATCTAATTGAAAACAATATTGTTCGCTTATACGTCTTGTTATAATATTGAATAAGTATCACACTGTGAAACAGTACTATTTGCTGAGATGAGTTTCCGAACACAATTTATAATTCATAATCATATCATACAACTCTAAGATTTGATTCATACAGCCGTCATTCTTTTTTCCTACTCCATGTATTGTAGGAGTTAGTAGGTTTTTTCAAATGTCTTGAACAGGTGTTGAATCGTTCCTATCGTAACATACCTTTTTGCTAGTTTAATCTATAAATAAAGCTTCAGTTATCAGTTTGTCCCTCCATCTTGTTACATGAGATTTTAAAAACATCAATTTGTCCCATCATATCATAAGGTTGCGTGTAGTACAACAGGACAATAGCTACTTTCCTAGATCTCTTATCTTATTAGAGTCAAATAATCTAAATTTCACTAGCCTTTTTCTAATCTTAACGACGCCAGTCTACTACTACTCTGACGAATATATTTGACTTTACAACCATTGTTCAATGGACTCTACAGGATGCTTCTCTTAAAAAATGTCAGTGTCCAAAACATCATCCAGTGAATACTGCTGTTTCACTGTTTTGATACACTCAATAAACTAATTAATATAGAATTTATTTATCAAAGGTTACTGGTGAAATTCATTAAAATCAGTATACATGGATAATATGTCCAGATTGAAAGAAAATAAATATGTGAAAATCCTAGAGAATCAAGGTTGAAAACACATTCAAGTTGTATATGGCCTTTGACGCTTTTTTCTAAAAATATTCAGCAACCTGACTGATATGTATCCACATATATATATTTTTGTGTGTGTATATGTTGGTCTCTCTTTCTGTTTGCTCTCTTAGTCTGTGACCATTTCACTTGTATGAACTTGTCTCCTTTAACAATGTATATTCTCCTTATATTATATTATATATAATATGAGTGTTTGTTGACAGTCCGTTGCTTGGTGACATATATCCATATATGGTGGTTGTTGACATGTCTGCTATAGTTCGCTATGTATATATGGATCGATACTTCATTATAATTAGCCATTCATGTTAAGACTGTCTAATGATTGTTCACACCTTTGTCTGAACATTCATATATATATATATATTTCGTTCTCACAATCTTGTGACTTACACTTACTTACTTTGGTGTGATACCACTTATTGCTTCTCCTTGTGTTTGGAAAATAGAAGTATCATCGCAAACCTAGTGGTCTTCTGATTTCCGCCTTCTTGCGTCAGGACTATTAAATTCTCGACCAATCCATAACAATAATTTGTCGACGAGTACATAACACTGACAAACACCAGTGATATATTTTGATGTGGTTTTGTTCTCTGAGCTGGATGGTTAGTTTGCGAAGCTTTCATCACCTTACTGGGTGACATCTTCAGCGCATACTTCAATTTGAAGACTTCAAATTGAAGTATGCGCTGAAGATGTCACCCAGTAAGGTGATGAAAGCTTCGCAAACTAACCATCCAGCTCAGAGAACAAAACCACATCAAAATCATCCACCTGAGCTACAAATCTTCTCTATCATACCAGTGATATATTCATCACATTAAAGGATTTTTCGTCACGAACAAACATCAATTAGAGAGGACACTGGAAACCAGGAAGCTCTCGATAGCTGTTTCTTCCCATTTTGAGACTTTTCGGCAGTGTATATGCGGTGTACCTGCAAGTCACAAGCTAAAACTTGTTGACCGTTTAGCCATGTGGGCTGGAATTGAATTTTCAAATCATTGATGGCTGGCTACTGGATGGATTTTCTGAAGCTGAAGTGAGAGGTCGTGACCAGTAGGGGTACAGAATAGGACGAAGCAGCTGTCCAGTGCTCCTTGGTTTTCAATGATCTGTTTAACTGATGTTGGTTCCTGACGAAAATCTAAAAATTGTGATATCTTCCTCCACTTGCACAATCTCTTCTCTTGCTTCGCGTGCTACACGGAATGTGGCGACTTGAACTTCCGCACATTTGTGCAAAGTTCTATGTCGAAAACAGAACAGAGAGAGACTTGCACAATCCCTTATTCTTCGTTGACTTGTCTTTTATTCTTTTCATGTGAAAATATACCTCATTAAATTTGAACAGTCCACTTACAGCCAGTGGGTTTCGGGTTCGTGTCCCACTTCACCTACTCCAGACTTAGTATCATCAACGGTCAAATAATATGTGTGAGTGCGTATGAAAAATCTGTTACACTTAACTGTGTTCATTGTCTGAAGAACCGTTTATCTGAATAGATTCAATCAGTTCATCAAATATTTTCGCTTTCAGGTGAAACAAAGACAATGCGGTAATCCACAAATAGATTCGATTAAATTGTAATTTTACGATAATAATAAGATGGAATTAATCTTCTTACCATAAAACGATTATACAATTGTTGTCTAGTTGACTCTAAACCACCAACATCAGCCCAAGTTATATCTGGAATAGTTACAAATTCAGCAGTATTTTTAACCGCTGGAACAATAATCGATAAGGATTTATCAACCATTTCACGTGTTACAATCAGAGGATGTTTAACTGTATTCTAAATAATGAAAAAAATAGAAACAAGTAATATGTAGCATTAATTGCATTCAACAACTGCATACTTTTCTATTTTTTAATAAAAACAAATAACTTCACTGAATAACTAAATGCATATTACTGAATTTTAAATTTCCCCGTCGACTGATTCCACAGAAGTGCTCGGTCTCAGGTTGACAAGTCAGCTTCTTGTGCAGATGCTTCGGCGATGTCTAGCCCAAGTGGTCCAGTGGATAACGCTTTGAAGTTTGAAACTACGGGCACTGGGTTCGAGCCTCCGTAAGAACATCATCATTCACTGCGGAATGCAAGTACATCCAGCCGACGAGTCATAAATAGGACAAAATGCGCATCCTGGATTCCACTGCTAGTCACCATCTACCAATTAACCTCTAAATGTATATAATAATAAGACTCATTCTACACAATATAGTAACACAGTACAGATTTCTCAGCGTATTCAAATCGCAAAACATTCACTACTGCTACAGGATTCTCTAGTAAAATAATTCTTTACAGGATACCATGTGACTCTGTGTGGTTCTGTTCGAGGTAAGATTCGATCTCTAACAAGATTATCTTTTCATTTCTTTCGAGAGAAAAGAAACATCATTACATTGAAAGTGAATTTAAAAAGCTTGCAAGTTTACATAACGATGCCAAAGATGAAATCGGATAATTAAAACAAAAAGAAACAAAGAAGAATTCAGGCATTGCATTGGATAGAAATATGAGCAGCCTAGTGATTTAAGCAGGAAGCCAAGAGTTATACGTGAATTTCAGACATTAGAAGGAGACGAGTAGGATTGTTAATTGCAGGTGAAACTATCTGAGATGTATTCACACAGCGATTATTGACAATCTGAAAATATGAGAGCTACACAAGACAGGCAATGAGAATCCCTTTTGTAATCACCTTATTATATGATAATTACACAATGATTGCTTGAAAATGATCATCACATACAATGATAAGTACTGGACAGCTGTTTCGTCCTAGTTTGGGGCTCTTCACAGTACGCACCCGCCTGGGTTCGAGCCCAGGACTTTCTGGTTACAAGGCGAGCTAGCTCGCAGACCATTGAGCCACTGGGGCCCCATCCAATCGCCTATGAATTCTAACTTCTGCCAATTCCCAACATAGTGCGACCATTTCGCAATGTCTTCTTCGATGAGTTACTGCCTTATCTTCAACCTGCTGTGCCCTAGTGGTCACGGCTTCCCACTATAACAAGCCTGCCTTCTAACCAGAAGGCACTGGATTCGAACCCTGGCGGGTGCACACCACTGAAAAGTCTCAAACTAGGACGAAACAGTTGTCCAGTACTCCCAGGTTTTCCAGTGGTCGTCAGCTGATGATGAAATTCTCCATCCAATCAAACAGAATCCCCACGAAACCAATACTTGACAATGATAAATAGCAATAATGGTCCAAGTAGGCTATGACTAGTAGAAACTACACCAGTGTTTAAAGAAAAGAATAAATTAACAAATCAAGCATAAGTGTTTACTTTCAAGTGATTACTTTTATCTCTATAAGTAGTAAGAAAAGTAATTCAAAACAGAATAACAAGGATAATAGGCAAAGAAATTGCCGGGATTTTCAGAATACTTAAAATGGCAAATCAACTAGGTATCGAAGAGAAATTATTCTTCAGAATCATATCAACTGTAACTAAACAACTTCAAAATTTGATCCGTTTATTTTTAATCCGCCATTCACATTTGTTGTATGAGTAGTAGGATTCTTCAAATGTCACAAAGCAGGTGTTGAATCACTCCTAAATACTGATAACTGCAACTTGATTCATCGAATCAATTGAGGATAACACCAACAGGCATGATTCCACATTTCTCTCCGACATTGTGAAAGTCCTACTACCCTTACAACAAACGAGAAGGAAGAAAGAATGAAAACTATGAAAATCAGTATTTAATTGGTGGATGGTGACTAGAAGTGGAATCTAGGATGCGCGTTTCGTCTTATTCGGGACTCGTCATCTGGATGTACCTGCATTTCTCAGTGAGTGATTATGTTCCGGGAAAATCTCATATTCAATAAAAAAAAATATGAAAATCAGTTTTCAAAGTTATGCACTTACAACTAATATGATTATGAATACTAAAATGTGTTCGACACCTTATCCAGCAGATGACATTGTCCCATTGTGTGATACATCTGCTAGGGAAACTAATATGAAATCATACACTAGCACATTGCCCAAGGTTTACAGATATAAAGAAACGTATTTCAGGGTGCATACCAAGATACCTCTGTAAATAATACCGAAGAAATATCGAGTGTAAAGGCACTCAATACACAGATAGTTCACGAGTGTCCATACTCTTCAATGGACAAAATGGTTATTACTTCCTTTGATTATACAACTGGATTCACTACAAATCAATAGTTACTATCTAAACGGTAATAACGCTAACATAATATTTCAAGTCTAAGAGACAGAGAACAACGGAAAGCTAGAAAGTACTAGACAGCTGTTTGTCCTAGTTTTAGACTCTTCAGCAATACGCTACGACGATTCCATCGCTGATCGAACCCATGACCTTAGGGTTACAATACTAAGCTTGTTAACCATTCAGCCACTTGAGAAAGAATCTACTGGCTTATAAATTCTAACCTCTGTCGATTTGCGATTTTAGCGCAACTACCAGGAAATGTTATCGGTGGAATCAACTGGTCGAAACTTCTCACTTGACCACCGGGCAACTTCGTCCTATAGCCAATCACTGGACAGCATCAGATTATTAGTTCTCTAACTGACTTCAATCCATGAACACACTTGAAACACATCAAAAATGCCAACAAACTGACTCTCGAAATTAATCAACATTTTTAATGTCAGCAAATGTCGATCAGCTGAAATTTTGTAAAGAAAGTTTGAATTTTAAGGCAACTGATAGCCGAATGAATGAAGATCTTAAACAAAAGAATATTATATTCGTTGTAAACCACTGTCTAATGTAAAAAGTACACCTTGGTCTTAAGAATCAAGATACAACAGTTCCAGGTAGAACTTCACAACAGTTTCCTTTAATAAAAACAAAATTATTCAGATCACAACATGTGACCTGCTCAATACCATGAATGTGAATCAAGAAAGCAAGAATAAGTGTATGAGTACTTTGGTACCACTAATGTGAATATGCGGAATGAAGGTACATCCAACCGACAAGTCCCAAATAGGACGAAATGCGCATCCTGGATCCCACTGATAGTCATTATCCACCAATTAACTTCTAATTACATGCTCAGACATCGTCGAAGCATCTGAAGAAGAAGCCAATATGTCAACCTGAGACCGAGCACTTCAGCTCAATCAATCGACAAGAAAATCTAAAATTCAGTTAGACAACTAATATGACCCGTTGCACAAGAGGTGGTTCTCGTGGCCCAAATGGTCTAGTGGAAATCGCTTTAGCGTTTGCAACTATGGACACTGGGTTCGAGCCTCGGTGGGAACATCATTACTGAATCATTGGGGAATGCAGGTCCCAAATAGGTCGAAATGCGCATTCTGGACTCCATTGTTAGTCACCATCCACCGATTAACCTTCAAGTTACCAGATAGTTTATTTAAAGTCTCCATAAATAATACTCAACCAAAAATTCTGAATAACAGCACAATTAAGAAGATAGTCTCCATTTTCATGAATTACAGTGTCTTTCAAATATCAGGTGGTTACATTTCGGTGCACCATATTGTTAGTGCAAGTTTAACAACACTAATGCGATAGAAAGGTGTGATAAGGTTTCTACTCTTTATACAACTTCATTTACTTTACTTATCAAACTAAAATTCAGAAATATACAGAGACCATAAAAAATCGTACCGATAGGATATTGTTCTCCACTGAATCATCAATACATAAATCAGGTGCAAATTTAACCGGAATTTCTTGACCATTCGCACTATTATCATCATCATCGTCATCACTACCATTGTCATTTGTTAAACAAGCCATTTTCAAATGAGCCACCAAACGAATTAGGTCGCCAATTTCATAACCCGGTGTACGACGTGCTAATTCAAGACATGTTAAATTATCACTAAGTTGTAATGGATTGATTTGCTGACTAACAACCGGTTTTGTTGATATAGTGAATTCACTATCATCTGATAAATACTGCCGTAATAAGCTAATTTATAGGGAGGGAAAAAAGAGGAGTTAACTTGTGAATTCGATCGTACATAAACACTAATATATATATATATATATATATATATATATATGGTGAGAGTAGGCTGCTAGCCAATTGGTAGACATTAATCTACGTCAATGTCTAGGTCACTAATATTGGCTGTGAGAAAATATGAACAAGGCTGATTCAACAACCAATCAGAAGACTGTGTTTGTTTACTTGAATAAGCTATAATAATGTGCATGCAATATATATTAATACGTGCTGATTCCCGTAATAAAACGATCTATTGCCTGTCCTTGTCTTCTGTTGTTACAATTGGTGTCGCTGCCTCCAAAAAATGAAGATCCCATGGCCAACTGCGTTTGAAGTAGGAGACTTACGGAGCTTTTTACGTGACTTCGAGGCCGTCGCTGAGCTGATAGGTGTCAAGGAGCAGGCGGCGAAGGCAGTTGTTCTGGGGACGCTGTTGAGAGGCCGAGCGAAGGCGGTATATGACAGCGTAGACAAGTCAAATGGCACAGCGTCTTGGAAGAAACTGGTTGAACGATTGGTGTCGGAGTTTGACAGAGGAGATACTGCCCAGAAAGGCGAAAAAGAAAAAGTTTCAGACGGTATAATACTAGTCCTTTCTCTCGTATGAAACTAGATTTAGCGGGGGCTATTGGGAAAGGGGCTGTGTATTCAAAGTTGTGAGTGAATGATCAAGAAGCAGTATGTTTAGTAGATACAGGGGCGGCCGTGTCGTTAATAGATAAGAATTTATGTAAGAGTGTTAGTCCGTGTTCATTGACAGTACAAACAGTAGGCGGGTATGTGTTGCGTATCACGGGTAGATCGAACTGTACGGTCGTTGTTGGTGGCTGCGAGGTGACGTTTCCTTTCATTGTTGTACCCGAACTACAGCGAACGATATTAGGAGCGGATTTTCTGCGGGAGATTGGTGCAATAATCGACACGCAAGCGAACGTTGTGATCACGAAATACGGGCATATCAACATGTATGAGACCAGCGAGATAGCAGCGGTTAAGCTGTCGACGGTACACAATATGACAGAGTTAATTAACAAATACGATCATCTGTTCACTGGAGATGGCGACCCATACGGTTATTGCGATAAGGTGAATCATGAAATTCCGTTAAGTGATCCGAAAGTAAGGTCATTTACAACGCGAAGAGTTCCATGTCATCTGGAAGGCGAAGTGGAGCGACAAGTGCAAGAGATGTTAAAAGATGATATTATTGAGGAAGCTGATAGCCCGTACAACTCTCCAGTGCTGTTAGTAAAAAAAGCGAATGGGAAGTATAGATTCTGTGTTGATTTTCGACAGTTAAACAGTATGACAGAGTTAAGACCGTGTGCCATGCCAACAGTGGTAGAAACTTTAGATCGCCTACAAGGTGCGAATGTGTTTTCGGTTCTCGATCTTCGCTCAGGATACTGGCAGACAAGGTGATAGAGATAAGACGGCTTTCATCGTGGGTCAGACACAATATCGATTTAAACGCATGCCGTTTGGACTAGCAGGTGCACCGTTTACGTTCAGACGACTGATGAAGCTATTACTTAAGAACTTGAAAAACGTGGAGGTTTATGGTGATGATCTCGTCATATACAGTCAAAACGAAAACGATCACGTCAACCATGTAGAAGCCGTGCTGCGACGCATCGAAGAGTTTGGACTACGCGTCAACAAAACCAAGTCCCAGATAGCCAAAAAGAATGTTACTCTGTTGGGACATAAAGTGGGAAATGGTGAGATTAAACCACTGCCGGAGAAAATTTTGACGATTAAAACGATTCCAGCCCCGAATTCAAAGAGAAAACTGAGACAATTCTTGGGTAGAGCAGCGTTTTATAGTCGCTTCGTGAAGAACTTCAATGAGATAGCAGCCCCTCTATACAGGCTACTAGGTGAGCCAAAGTTTGTTTGGTCGGAAGAATCGCAGAGGACATTCGACAGAATTAAACAGCTGCTCGACCACCAACAAATGACGCTAAAACTACCTGTACCAGGAAGACAGTTCACAGTGTGCACAGATGCCAGTGACTACGCTATAGGTGCGGTCCTAAGACAGGACGAGGGAATCGTTGAGTATGCCAGTAGGGTTTTGACACACACACAGAGAGAAAGTATTCAACGATAGAGAAAGAATGTTTAGCAATGGTATGGGCAGTCGACAAATGGAGACCTTATTTACTCGGCCGGCGGTTCCACATCGAAACTGATCATAAGCCGCTACAATTTTTGAAGACAGCGAGAGACCCACGGGGGAAGTTGTCACGGTGGATGTTGCGTCTTCAGGAGTACGATTTTACGATCTCACACGTTCCTGGAAGTGAAAATGTCTTGGCAGATTTGTTATCGAGACCAGAAGATGAGTCTGAGTTGCCCGAGGTCGCTTACGGAGTGCATGCAGTAGAACAAGACCCACTAAGACTTGCACGTAGGCAGAGGTTGGACGATACGCTGAATACAGTAATACAGGTGATCACCAACGGAATAGAAGTGGATCAAACTACGGCGAGTAAGGAGCTAACCACACTACTCAGACAGAGGGATCGACTCAGAGTGAATGCCTACGGGACTCTGACCTGGCGAGAGAACGACGGAAGCTGGCTGGCTGTCATACCTCAATCGTCGCGCCACGACATGATAGAAGAATGTCACCAGCTAGCGCATACAGGCGTGGCCAGAACGACCGACCTCCTAAGACAAAGTATGTACTGGCCAGGTATGAGAGAAGACGTAGCAAGATACGTACTTGGATGTCCACGGTGCCAGCTGATGAAAGGTGACCGGTGCATACGACCACCACTTCAGTCGATTCCAGTTACCGCGATAGGTGACTTGTGGTCCGTAGATGTCATGGGTCCATTTCCTCAGACATCCAATGGTAATCAGTACCTCTTGGTGATGACGGAACACGCGACACGATGGGTAGACGCCGTAGCAATCCCAGACCAACGTGCAAGAACCGTGACAGATGCAGTAGTTAGACACATTGTTGCAGACCACGGCGTACCGAAGACAATACTGACAGACCAAGGTCCCTGTTTCGAGAGTGAAGAGTTTACTTCCCGTTTGCAACAGCTGGGCATCAAGAGGATCAGAACGACCCCATACCATCCACAAACGAATGGCCTAACGGAGAGAAACAACCGTACACTGAAGGAGTGGCTGGCCTCGAAGGGCGGGAACTGGGAAACGGAGCTTCCACTGATTTTACTAACACATCGTGCTACCACTCAGGAAACAACGAAGAAGTCACCCTTCCAACTGATGTATGGTAGAAAACCACGATTACCGGTACACAATGAGACCTGGCCCATGCACCAAAAGTGGAGTACGACGAAATTAAAAGCAGAGAGGAAAGAGGCAGTCAAGAATGTAATACGGAAGCAGCGCAGTGATGTCGCGAAGTCTCAGATGAAAGAAAGGACGCAGTGCATTACCTTTGCAGTCGGGGACCAAGTGAAGTGTAGAGACAGGAGATATACAGTTGGAGGCGGGCTAGGTTCACGGAAACTCCTTCCAAAGTGGGAAGGACCATACACAATCACAAAAAGACGGGGTCAAGTATATACCATCCGAAGAGGTGATAAACAGAAACGAGTTAACGCCAGTCAGCTCCAAAGATGGGTACAGTGGGACAAGCCGGTCAGTAACAATCCTCAACTAGAGGATGTAGCACCCAGAAGGTCGGAACGTTTGCGCACGAAGCTATTTAACGGGGGTACGAGTGTGGTGAGAACAGGCTGCTAGCCAATTGGTAGACATTAATCTACGTCAATGTCTAGGTCACTAATATTGGCCGTGAGAAAATATGAACAAGGCTGATTCAACAACTAATCACAGCAGCCTTAACGTGGGCAAATAAGATTCCCAAATATATGGATTAACTTTCCGAGAAACCAGAAACAACCAATGAGAAGACTGCGTTTGTCTACTCAAATAAGCTATAATAATGTACATGAAATATGTATAAATACGTGCTGATTCCCGTAGTAAAACGATCTGTTGCCGACCCTTGTCTTCTGTTGTTACATATATATATATATATATATATATATATATATATATATATATATGGAAAACTTATTGATTATTATGATCGTACAGCGAATCCTCCACCAAGTTTTATAAATCCTAATCCATGGATCAATCCAGCAGAGACAACATCAGTGAGCATGATAAAAGACATGAATGAAAGGCTGGAGTGTACACTGAATGGAGGCGTACTATTAAAGAAAAGAACATCTTCTAAAACAACTACAACGACCGAAAGCTGCTACCTTGACGTGGTGGTCGGGCTTGAACACCGCAATGACCTAATCAAGCTATACTGGCTGAGACTTATGTCTCTTGAGGTTCTACCATGCCAGGCAGGTTGTTTGGATAGCGGTTAAACAAAAAGCAGCTACCCAATCCAACATCATGTCCAATACAAAATTACAAAATTTCATGCCGGATCGGCCGTGGCCCGGATTAACAACGACCGCGCTTCCTGCTGCCGTGTCACAGGGCGGGAGTGATAAATCTGCTACTGAGACACACAAAACAACAAAGAACAAACAAAAACAGGCCGCGTGTGACCGGCCTCAAGCAGTTGTCCCCTGGGCTCTGCGGTCACGCAACCAACTTCCACGGTGTGGGCAGCCGGGAAGTAACAATCGCCCTCACAATCCGAAATGCACACGAAACCTCTCTATTACTCACTCATCTTTGTCTTCATCTTCATCTCTATCATCTTGCCTTCCTTCCACTGATGCAACTCCTCGACTTGATAGCTCTCCACTTCCTCTCCACTCTGCGTCCACTAAAAACGATGGAAGCCAAAAAACCACCACCGACAGCCTCTTAAAGCCGCGCCACCAATTTCATATAGGAGCTCTTAATGTTAGGACACTTTGCCAAATAGGACAACAAGCATCACTAGCCAAGACCCTGGCATCACGAGCCATTGATGTATGCTGTGTTTCAGAAACACGCATACAAGACCCAAGTGTGGTTATTCACCTAACCCCACCTGGCCAACAGGTTGAATCTGCAAAATTCACCTTGAGGGTGTCAGGAGATGCCACAGCTAGTTCACGAGGATTAGCTGGCGTAGGGATAGCTTTGAGTACTAGGGCAGAAAAGACATTGCTTGACTGGATCCCGGTAGATAGCCGAATGTGTGCTGTCCGCCTGAACGGATCAGTAAGAAGGAGGAAGGACTGCACTACTCGCCGATGCCTTTTCGTAATCTCCGCCTACGCCCCCACTGACTGCAGTTCAGATGAAACGAAGGATGAGTTCTACCAAAAGCTGTCTAGTTTGGTGAGAAAGGCTAAACGCTCAGACATAGTCGTTCTAGCTGGTGACTTTAACGCTCAAGTAGGGAAATTGTGTCAATCTGAGAAGGATGTCGGTGGCACCTATGGAGTTCCGTGCCAGCGAACCGACAACGGTGACCGTCTCCTACAGTTCTGCTCTGATAATCATTTGTTTCTTGTAAGCACTAACTTCAAACACAAGGAGAGACACTGTTTGACTTGGAGACCCCCTTCATCAAACCAACGCTGGACACAAATAGACCACATAGCAATAAGCTATCGTTGGCGTGGGTCGGTAGGAGATTGTCGCTCCTTCTGGAACACGTGCGTAGATACCGACCATGCACTGGTCCGCGCTCGGGTGTGCTTACGACTGAACGGACGTAGGAAACAGCTGGCGGTAAAACCATCACGTCCCCAGCTCGATCAGGAAACTAAATCCGTATTTGAGGAAGAACTAGCTAAACACATATCTGTGTTCGACAGCTGTGCTCACCCTGAAGAAGCTTGGAAAAATATCCAGGCAGCCATAGATACAGCTGTAAAAGCTGTGAATAAGGTAAACCCAAAGGTGAGTAAAAACCACTGGATCTCCACCGCCTCATCCGAACTGATAGATGCTAGAAGACTTATTCCGGCGAGCTCCGAATTCAATGAGGAGCGAAAGCTGCACAAGAGGAAACTTACGAAAAGTCTCCGCAAGGACCGTGAACAGTGGTGGGCGACAAAAGCCAAAGAGATGGAGAAAGCTTCGAGGATAGGCAACACCAGGCAACTCTTTGGACTCATCAGGGAAACGGGTGGGAGAAGACAAATCATTAGTGAGACAATCTCGGAAAAAAATGGCACTATAATTAGCTCACAGGATAGACGACTGGATCGTTGGAAAGAGCATTATGAGGAGCAGTTTAATTTGCCCACAGCCACGCTCAACCTTCCGAGCATCCAACACCTCCCTGAATGGGATATAGACACAGGTCCTCCGTCACTAACTGAGGTTACTAAAGCTGTCACCAATCTGAAACTAGGCAAAGCAGCGGGACCTGATGGAATGACTCCAGAGGTATTTAAGTACGGTGGAGACAGCTTACTGTCCGGATTAACTGAGGTACTAGGCAGCGTCTGGGAATCAGAAGAAGTCCCATCGGGTTGGTGTAAGTCACTGATTATCCCCATATACAAGAAGGGAGACAAGTCTTCCTGTGATAATCACAGAGGGATTAGCTTGACTAATATAGTATCTAAAGTCTTAGGCTCAATAATCATGCGTAGACTGAGTGGTGCTCGGGAAGCACAAACACGAGAGAGCCAGGCAGGCTTTAGACCAGGAAGAGGGTGTATTGATCATATCTTCACCCTCCGACAGATTCTAGAACATAGGCATTCCTACCGGCGTCCAACAGTCATTATATTTCTTGACCTAAAGGCAGCATTCGACTCTGTCGATCGGGAAGTTCTCTGGAGATGCTTGGCTGTAAAGGGAATTCCGAGAAAATATATTGCACTGATTAAGGCACTCTATTCGTACTCATACAGCCAGGTGAGGGCTTACGGCGAGCTGTCATCTGAACTGATGACGACCAGTGGTGTCCGTCAAGGATGCCCATTATCTCCTTTTCTATTCAACTTCATCATAGATGTGTTAATGGACTTAACCCTAGGTGACTTCAGCGACTCAGGGATTGACTTGCTACCTGGGAATAATCTCGTTGACTTGGAATATGCAGACGATATAGTCCTTCTAGGCGAAGACGCTGACGAAATGCAGAGTCTTCTAAACACCTTGAGCAGCAATCTACGAATGTTTGGCATGCGATTCGCTCCCGCCAAATGCAAGATGATGTTACAGGACTGGACTACATCGACGCCTAGTTTAAAAATAGGAAGTGAAGTGGTAGAGCACGTTGACCGCTTCACTTATTTGGGAAGTACCATCAGCCCCAACGGGCTGATCTCTGACGAAATCTCAGCACGAATACAAGGGGCTCGTTTCGCATTTGTTAGTTTACGCCGACTCTGGCGTAGACGAGATGTTCGACTATCGACCAAAGGGCGGGTGTACTGCTCATCAGTCCGCTCCGTCCTCCTTTATGGTTGTGAGACCTGGCCACTGAGAGTGGAAGACATGAAAAGACTAGCTGTCTTTGATCATAGGTGCCTGCGTTCTATTTCCCGTGTAAAGTGGCATAATAAGGTGAGCAACATGGAGGTTAGGCGTAGAGTTCTAGGTAAACAGGGGAAATCAATCGACGAAGTCGTGAAGCTACAAAGACTGAGATGGTTAGGACATGTGTTACGTATGCCAAGCCATCGCCTCCCTCGACGAGCAATGTTAGCGGATATAGGGTCAGGCTGGAAAAAAGCTAGCGGCGGTCAAACAAAAACTTGGCATCAGTCAATGAAATCCACAACAGTTGGTCTAAGCCACGTAGGAAGGTGTAGACTTCCAGGCTGGGGTCCTCGGGACGGTAAAAATCTATGGTTGGAAACAATTGGTGACATGGCTCAAAATCGTTCTCAGTGGCGCAGATGCATCCACTCCCTGTGACTTATGATCTTCAATGAAACTGTTTTGTATTTCTTTATTACTCCTTTGTCTCACACCTCTGCTCACTGTTTCTATTTGCTTTTCTTGTACTTTCTTCTCTTGCTTCGCGTGCTACACGGAATGTGGCGACTTGAACTTCCGCACATTTGTGCAAAGTTCTATGTCGAAAACAGACAGACATATATATATATATATATAAGTTAAAGTACAAACTTGGGAGATGGATATGCGTGCACCCTAAGAATAAAATACTATTATACAATGAGTGACACTAATGACAACCGACTTTCTACATAACAGTGACTGTATGCCATTTTCTGCACCGATGAATTTAACCCCCACCTTTAAGAATCGAAAACCAAGTCATTTAGATACTTTCATATAAAAACACCGATGTAATTACACAATAAAGAAACAAGAATGAAAAGAATTTGTAAGAAGTTATCCACCTACATAAATTTGTGATCGGAGTACTCCAAGTGTGGGAGTTTATTATCTCCAAGATTATGAAGCGCTATTATTGACCTTTTAGAGATTGGGTCTTTGTCACTTAAATAATTTTTCAACTAAATTGGTAATTATATTACCAAAATTCATCAGAAGCCTCAACACCCTACAGCCGATTCAACAACTATTGAAAATTAAGTGACTGAACTATCCAAGCCAAAGTATATTCTTGTTCAAACAGAGTTGTCAAAATGTCAAACTACCTCAATGTTTTTGTATGAAGAACTGTTTTTAATACTATCTTGAATACTGGAAGTACTGGACCAATACTTTGTCCTGGTATGGGGCTCTTCATCAGTACACACCCAATGGTGTAGCACCCGGGAGCTTTCGGTTACAAGGCAAGCTCGTAGACCATTCAGACACTGGGACCCAATTCAATGGCCCACGAATGCCGACTTGCACCAATTTGCGATGTTATACACCACACTCCCCAGCCAATTTCATAAGCGAGCAGCTGATCTCTTAACTGATTTGGTGAACTTCGCTGGTTATGACTTCTCACTAAAAATCCAGGTAACTTCCTCCATGGTGTTAGTGAGCATTACATCAAGCGTTGGTCTGCAGGGATTTGACCGGTTACAGGTACGCACCCAGGGCACTTTGAACAAACTACAGACCTTCATCAACAGCCCTCTACGCTCAATCCTCAAGAATCAGATGGCCAGAAAAGATCAGCAACAGGGATCTCTGAGAGTGAACCAACTCAGCAGGAACCAATTGTACAGCAACTATGCAGGAAGAAGTGGAGGTGCATTGCCCATACTCTGAGAAAACCATAAAGTGACATCACACGACAGGTCGTCACTAGAGTAGAACCCAAACGAGAAGCGACGAGTTGGTCGTCAGTGCAAGGGTGACACGTAGGTTATGTGAAGAGGGGATGAAAGCATGTGGGCAGACGTAGAGCCAGGTGAAAAGGTTGTCAGAGAACCGAACGCAATGGGGACGTGCGGCTAAAGCCCATATGTTTCCCTAGGAACTAAAGGAAACAATAATAACAGTGGTAATATTTTGTTCACATTCTCCATTCCTCTGCATTTCCTCTTTTATGACAATCTATCATATACATTACGTGTTAAATTGAGCACATGAAGTGCGTAGCTTTGACTTAGGTTACTGGTTCTGATAAGACATTAAAAAGCATATGGAAAACCGTTTGCTATCCGTGTTAACACTGTTGAGAAGAGGTCTGTCTGTCTGTCTGTCTGGATTCAACATATAACTTGGCGCCGAAGTGCAGCAGTTCGAGTTGCCACGTTCCAAATAGCACACAGAGGTAGACAAGAAGATGAGTGGAGAGGATTATTAGAGTTTCACAAGTATAAGAGTGCAACAGAATGGGTAATGGTAGAAAGGAATATGAAAGATTACAGAGACTGAATACATCTGCGCCATTGACAACGATTTTGAGCCATATCACCTATTGTCTCCAGCCATTGATTCCTAGAGTCTCGAGGCCCCCAACCCGGGAGTCTGCATCTCCCTACCTGACTCAGTTTAACTGTCAAGGATTTCATGGATTGATGAGGCCATGTTTTTGTTTGGCCACCACTGGCTCTTTTCCAACCTGAACCTATATCAGCTAGCAATGCCCGTCGGGGGAGGCGGTGGTTAGGCATGCGCAGCACTTGACCTAGCCATCTTAGTCTATGTAACTTTATAGCCTCGTCGATTGATTTTCCCTCTTTGCCCAACACTCTACGCCTAACGTCAACATTACTTACCTTATTAAACCACCTAACGTGAGACAGAGATCGCAGACATCTATGATCGAAAGCAGTCAACCTTTTCATGTCTTCAACTCGTATTGGCCATGTTTCAGAGCCATAGAGAAAGACGGAGCGAACTGCTGAGCAGTACACACGTCCCTTGGTTGATAACCGGATGTCACGCCTACGCCAGAGATGGTGTAAGTCAGCGAAAGCAGCTCGAGCTTTTCGGATCCGTGCTGAGATTTCATCGCCAATCAGTCCGTTGGTGCTAATACAACTTCCCAAATAGGTGAAGTGGTCAACATGTTCTATCACTTCACTCCTTATCACTAAGTTAGGAGGTGAAAATGACCTATAGCCCAACAAGTGAATGAAGTTAGGTAATTATATTTGTTATCATACAAAAAAATACGACTTACAAGTCAATCACCACTATAAAATATCACACTAGAAAGTTTTACCATAGATTAATTTATACTCACTTTAAACGATGAGTTTCATTTAACATACCAAATGTTAACTTCTGTGTAAATAAATCTAAAATACTTTGTGGTAAACTGGCTAGAAGACATCGAGTTTCACCAATTAATACAACACCTGAGTTTGTCATATCTAAAATTTGGAAGACAAACATATTTAAGTGAAGAGATCTTACACTGTAGTAATTAACGACTACTATGTTTTGCTGCGAAATAAAACAAACATTCAGTATATGATAAATGCTGCAACTCAGTTATAACATATTACTTTATGTTCTGTATCTGTAGCACAATTTAGAATGAACTTGTCCAGACATTTTCTCTGGATAAACGAGTAGTCGGTCGTAGATACGACTTATCACTACTAGAAATCCGAAACTATATGCTATTCATTCAACAGATGTAGTGATCATTGCCCCCCTCCCATAAACGACCAGGTAAGAGTGAGGGTGGTGCGTAGACTTAGGTCTTCCTTGCAAAATTCTGTAATGCGGCTACGCGTAGGCGTGTTCCTCACGAAAATGAAAGGTTGAATGCGGACGTCTAGCACTTACAACTGAACCATTAGAGATGTAGTTCTACCTATGGGAGCTGCAAAATCCTGATTCTAAACCTCTGGTGTACAGAAGATCCAGAATCCGAGCGATTTGAATGGCGTATGAACTTCTTTTGGTCACTGGAAACCATGGGGGCACGTAGATCCTGATGCTGAGATCCACTGCTTTGTGAATCCCAGTATCCCAGCTGTCATACAAACTATGGTTTTGTGTGGCACATCTCTTGCTACACCAATAATGTACTAAGTTTGTGTTTCAATGATAATCATTTAAACCCACCGGGTTGCATTAAAGATGTACATCATGTTGGAGCTAGTAGCTTTGATGCATAGACAGTTAGGTTGTCCTGCAAGCTTTATTAGGTGACCACTAAATATCAACCCCTAATTAAAAATTGTTGAACACTGTTCACTACCACATAGTCCTGAAGCTTATGAAAGATTATGACAGCAGTGCGTCGGTGGCACAGTGGTTAGGACTCTCGCCGACCATGCACATGGTCCGGGTCCCCGGCAAATTGGCCAAATCTCAAAAGGAAAAAAAAAAAAAAAAATAAATAAATAAAAAAAAATAAAAGAGCGAACATGAAAATGAGTCAATTAATTTATAAAGCTACTTATCAATAAAAGATAAGTGGGATTTTCGGAGGCAATTTATTTATAGTTGGTTGTTGTACTTGTTTTCCTTTCCATAAAATGTGACATTAACAATAATTAGGATTAGTTCAGTTACTTTATTGAATTTACTATACAACTGTAATGTGATTGTTAATAGTGTATGAACTTTCTCAATTAAAACTATTTGTAAAGATGAAGCAACTGAAAGCCTTGAATAGAAATTACTTTTTTGATGTGGTTGTGTTCCCTGAGCTGGATAGTTAATTTACGAAGCTTTCATCGCCCTACTAGGTGACATCTTCAGCGCATACTTCAATTTCATGAAGTGAGCTTTTAGATTTCTCCACGAGTTTTATTAATCATCTCTCCCGGTGACCTTGAAAGTGATTGGTTGTTTCTGTGTGTTTTCACACCTCCTAGGTCACTTGTATTGGAACTGATTGTTTCTTTGATTTGAATTCCGACCCTTTGTGTGTGTGATTTCCTTCTTATCGGTTGATAAATTTTGTCTATGTCGGCATATCCTTTGATTGATGATTCACTGGAATACCAGGCTTCTAAAAATTCTCTAACATTCTTGTTGTTTCCTCTGTCTAATATTTGAACTCAAGCTGATGAAAATCAACCCACACAGACCAAATCCTGAATTACAACAGCAACAATCCAATAACACACAAAAGGAATTGCATACAAACGCCATTCAAGAGGGCCAGGACTCATTGCAGCACTCTCACCTTAAGGAAAATTGAAGAAAGATATCTCATGGACGTCTTCAAAAAGAATGGATATCCACGAAATTTCATCAAAAGACATATACCCCTAAGCCAACCTATGAAACCAAAAGCCCCCAAGGAAAACACAAAGAAAGTCGCCTTACCACATATAAAAGATAATCTCAGAAATTACTACAAGACTCTTCAAGCCTTTAGGAATTGACGTCACGCACAAACTAACTAAATCACTTCAGTCAGCTGGCTCTATGTCAACCAAAAGACTCAACAGCGAAAGAAGATAAAACCAACATCATCTACAAAATAAATTTTAACAACTGCGAAAAACATTACATTGGTCAAAGTGGACGTCCCCTTCGTCTTCGTATACACGAACATAAGCTAGCCATCAAAAGACACGATATCCACTCCCTCATATCACTACATACAGATGACCAAGGAAATCAGTTCGACTGGAACAACGTTCAAATGTTAGATAGAGGAAACAACAAGAATGCTAGGGAATTTCTAGAAGCTTGGCATTCCAGTGAATCATCACTCAACAGACACATCGAGATAGACCAAATTTATCAACCGACAAGAAGGAAATCTCACACACAAAGGGTCAAAATCCAAGTCAAAGAAACAGTCAGTTCCAATACAACTAACCTAGAAGGTGTGAAAACACACAAAAACAACCAATAACATCCAAGGTCACCGGGAGAGATGATTAATAGAACTCGTAGAGAAATCTAAATGCTCATTTCAAGAAATTGAAGTATGCGCTGAAGATGTCACCTAGTAGGGCGATGAAAGCTTCGTAAATTAACTATCCAGCTAAGAGAACACAACCACATCAAAATCATTCGCCTGAGCTACAAATCTTCTCTATCATATCAAAACTACTTTTTAGATAATCATCAAATGATATAAATCAGTACAAAAGTGCAAGAGAAATATCCATACCTCTAAGTATTTGACTCTTCAAAAGACAAGTAAGACGGAATGTTCCAACAGGAGAGGAATGCTTTTCCATACTTTCAATATCGTCTAAATGCAAAATACAAGGTGCACAACTCTTGATGATATTGGATTATTAAAATGAATCAGCATACCTTGGCCTGGTTGAATATATCCATCCAAGAGCGCATAGACGATGGTACTGTGCCAACCGATACAGTGATAATCTTTAGACCTAGAGTCTTTTTTTGCACATTAAAAAAACAAACTCAATCAACTCTTACTCCACATGCTGCTTCAATTAATGCTGTTTTACCGCAAAATGGTGGGCCATTAATAAGTAAAGTTGGCCAAACTGGTAGTCCCATATCGGAAAACAGATGAGATATCAAAAAAGCTTTTATTTGTTTCTAAAGCATTATTAAAACGAGACACGGACTACTTACTCGTATATCTTTAGGAGTAGTGTATTTGAGACTCGCTAGAGTGGATGAACAAGTCCGAGGAGTGAAAGACTCAACAACTTAAAACAGTTAGCATGAAATATGCACCAACCTGTTGATTCCATGTTCAACCTAGATCGTTTGCGTGGTAACTTTTTGTCTGTATCCACCGACATATCCAGTTTTGGAGATTCAGACTGGTCAATAATAATTGGTGAATCTTTTGCAACAGGAGTAACCATTGTACGCGCATTAACGAGCCTCAGAGCTGAACAAAGTAACATAACAAAGTAAAGTATACCTTTGCAGGCATCTTTTCGCCATAACCTCATATTTGACTTATTACAGCTTGTTGACTTATCCCGGATCACATAATCAACAAAATCATCAACGGATGACGTATCTACACAAATTTTTGTGAACTATGAGGCGTTAAAATAAAATTGTAAAACACACCTGTTCAGCAAGAGGAATGAGATAAGTCCGTTGGATTTGTGGAGAGCCGTATCCACATCCAATTTCATTCATTATAGACAATCCAGAATGACGAGAAATTATCTACGAAAATATAAAAAAGACGATTAGATATTGATTTTTTTATTCACTTACTGGTCAAATGAGCAAAATCCCAACATGATTTTTCATCAGCAAGTGCTTTAAAAAGTGTCAAATACTTGCTAATTTACCAATTTATAACTTCTTCCAGTAAAATGAGAACGTCTGAGATTGGAATTTATACTGGCATGGTTGACACATAAAGAGAAAAACAATATAAACATAGTAGATGTACTAAGGCCTCAGAAAGATAAAACTGTTTCAGTTTACCGCACTAAATGTTTACAGAATGGCTACACTAATCAATACTTCCTTGTAGAATAGCTAGATGCAGTAGATTTAGGTGACTAAAGCATATCCACATAAAAAACCAATCACCATATAATAACACAAAACGATATCTGAAAAATAAATCAATCAGAGAGTAAAGGAATGTAGCTCTCAAAATCTCGACAACTACAATTTACACATCAAAATGAGGAGACATTAATGAGTTGGTACGCACCTGTTTTTGTCAAAACGACTCATCAAGACAGTTCTTTAAAGTAAAATAAGTTAAATTTAGGACATGAAGCAATCAGGACCGCCCACGCTTCCAAAAAGAGAGTGGGATTTTTACGTTGTGAAGTAACTTCTGCTTTGATTGTGTAAATTGCATCAGAAACTTTACCTTAATTTAACTGGTTTAATTAGTTAAAGTATTGTTTTTTGTGTAATTTAAACAACTTATGCCGACATGAGTCTCGCTAATAGCTGTGAATGACCAGACTGCCGGTGGGTGATGAGATGCAGTGTGATTACTGCAACCTGTGGTTTCATAAAGTTTGCACTGGCTTATCACCATCGGCTTATAGGAGAACCAGCAAGCCGTCGTCTCTGTGGATGTTAACTTTTGTAGCATCCCGTTGGACGTCCTCATCCAAGAGGCCGTAGGACTTCTTATGTTCAAAATATTAACAAAAGCTTCAGATGAGGGGAAAAAGCCAGCATCTGGAACCGATACCATAAATGATGATTCTGGACCGAGTCATAAGACTGAGACAGAACCACATCCCGAAGCGAAAGACATAAAAGAGATACATTGTGCCTAAAAGTTTGCAACAGCACGAAAACCTAGGAGGGCAAGCAGTGTCAACAATGTAAGACAGCCGGATGACACTACTACGACGAAGCGTTGCGTGTCAGGTGAACTCATGGCTCCCAACTGCGACTAGAGCAAAGTGGAAGCAACCTATTCCACTCGGTTAGTGCCAAAAAATAGGAAGCTGAAGAACTACAGGAAAGAGAGAAAGAATGGACTTAGTAATGAGGTTTTGACGGCCATAAACACGAATAAGATTGCGAAACCTTCGAACCCAAATTACAGTATCGTAATTTGGAACTTGGAGAAATCAAAGAAAGGAGATCCAGCCACCCGACATGCTGATGACCTCAAGGTCGTTAGCTCCATCATTCGTGAAGTAATTCCTGAAAAAACAAATGGAGTTCACATAAGAAAAGTCATCAGAATCGGTAAACGAAATGCCGATGCAACGGAAATTTCCCCACGACTGCTGAAGATCGTATTGGGGAACAAAATGGAGAAAAGCATTATTCTCAGCAACGCATTCGAGATCAAGGACAAAAGGATGAGTAATATAGGCGTCTAATATTAGGTGACTTTAATGCCCCACATATTAACTGGGAGGAATCGGCACCAACTAGCTTCTACATTACCAGCTTCTAGTACATTACCAGGTAAAAAGTCTTACACGTCATAATCCCTGGGGATGGACACAACTGACAGATGTTAGGGGACAAAAGGACTTATGAATTACCGTAAGCCATGACCCAAAAACAACGGCTAATTGTAATAGAACCGCAGCTAGGACTTTTCGAATGCTATAGGCACTTCGAACGGCTTTCAAACAATTAAACGAGGGTATGTTCCAAGTACTATATGCAACATATGTCAGATCTCATCTAGAATACTACATACAAGCGGTGAGTCCATGCTCAAGAAAGAGGCAGATACCCTGGAAAGAGTACAGAGGGTAGGAACCAAATCGGTTAGTGATATCTCACATCTTCCTTAGGATAAGAGGATGAAGAATTCAAATCTCTTCCCGTTATGATACCAAAGGAGAGGAGACTTAATTTTGGCTTACCGTATATTAAAGGATGATTTCGGGATTGACCTTTCAAACCTTTCCTCTTCCTCTAGGATACATTTACGAGGTGTCAAAGCAAGGTCGAACAAAATACGTGTGAAATTTAGATTCTCTCACAGTGGTCAACGACTGGAACTTCCTACCTAATTCAGTAGTAACCGCTTAATTGGAGAACGCTTTCAAAGAGAAACTATATCTCTACAAAGCTATATATAGCAAGAATCAACATAAGCAACAAGAGCCCACTATCCTTATAATCTGAATCTGAAGAAAATTAAAAGATCCAAGATTGTAACAAACAAGATACTTTTCTTCAACGCGCTGCTATATATATTCAAACATTTATCTGAGTCTAGCTGTATTGTTTTATTATACACTGCCTAACAAGAATAATAAAAAAAGAACAAAAAAACATCTGAATATCGCTCGTGAGTAACATGCATTTAATACAAATCAATGTTTCTATGTAGTTGAACAAAATGATAACCAGAACCAGACCACTCCAGAAGTCAGCGAAACAATGCATACGGAAAAAGATGCCAACAAGGGTCAGGAGAGTGTAAGGAGAAAAAGTGGTTACATGAAAGCAAATGAAAATATTCTATTCTATATTCATACTACTATACTTAATCCAGAGATATCTTGTTGGTTGTGTCAATATTTAGAGATCAAAAAGCAGTTTTGTTTACAAGTGTGACCACGAACTGACATCTGTTAGAAAACAGCTGGAAACAAGGGAGTAGTTGAAGGCTGTTTCGCCCTAAACAACACATTCCGAAATACGCATCCAGGACTTTAAATTCACGAAGCGAGCTCAAGTAGTTCCCAATATCTAACTATTCTCCAAATGATTTTAGTTTATGATATAACTTGTAATCAATCAAATTTCTAAAATCCAACGCTTGAAAACTATTTCGTTCATGCACCGCAGCATTTGCTATAAAATTGAAAGATTTTCCCTTATAGAGACTGAGCATAATTAATAATGTCTGTAAATCAGCATAGCCAATCAACTACGGCATGTGGCTACGAGGACTCGGTGAAGATTTCTGGGATTTTGTGAGTTGCACGAATGAGGTTAATAGGAAGATTTGACACATAACATTTGCAGACTGTGTATGAAAAGTTATTTAAACTACTAGGAAACGTACACCAACAGTAACAAGGAAATTCGGTGACTCTAAAGAATAGCGGCCCAAACCGAAACGACCTTCGAACAAAAATTGACCTTGAGCAAGAAATCAGCTGACTGTATCATTTGCGGAAGTAATCATGGATGTTTTCGATTACTGTTTGGATAACGGACTGATAGCTTTGTCGAAAATTTGCCAATGCGGAGGAGTTATGGATATACAAAAATACACAAAGGCCATTGATGGCTTTGTATACAGATGTATTGAGTGCCGAAGCAGGAAATCGGTTCGAGAAGGTTTGTCGTTGTTTTTTAGTTTACAGATCCCTTAGGAACTTTTCTCTCAAGGTCTAAACTACCTTTGACGAAAATTTTAATGATCTGTAACTTCTGGGTCCTGAAAAGACCAGTTACAGCTACAGCTTATGAAACAGAAAATTCAGAGGTGTCAGCAGTGCAATGGTACAACTACTGCAGAGATGTTTCCTCCTGGAAAATGAACACCATGACTCAAGTTCTCGTAGAAGTCGGCAGCATACTCCATATTGGTGAGACTGTACTTATAAAAAGGAAATACAACCGCGGGAGATTACAAGCAAACCAGCAGTGGATATTAGGTATCTACGACACGACACTGCGCAAAGTATAAATAGAAGCGATTCCCAATCGCAGTGCAGCAGTATTAGTGCCTATTAATAAGCGTTTGGTGTTTCCGGGGACGACTATTCATACAGATGAATGGAGCGGATACCGTCAATTATCGAATCATGGGTACATTCATCATGTTTTTAATCATACGGACGGTTTCCGGAATCCTTTGGATGGAACCCACACCAGTTCCATTGAAAGTTTTTGGAGTCATTTAAAAAGACGTATAAGGGCGGTTAATGGATCGAGAAATCCCATGATTTACAGTTACCTGGATGAATTTATGTACCGAAACTGGTTTCATATGACTATGAAGACTCCCATGAGAAACTGGGAGTTTTTTTGCAACATATACGCGAACGCCATCCTTTGTAACTGTTTATTATGATTGCATTATTTTTATATAAACCGTTTTTTACAATTATGCGCCTTTCTTTTTGAGCCTTCTCATTGGCCGAAGTTGTCCCTGTCAAGGTCATTTTTGCGTTAAAAGGTCGTTTCGGTTTGGGCCGCTATTCTTTAGAGTCACCGGAAATTCCTTTTAAATTATGTATGAAAAGCTGAAAAATATTGCGGTGTTTTCCTTATTCACAGTCCAAAAACCTTATATCACACCACAGTAGCTGCATGATATATACACCCACCAAAAATGGAACAGGACCTTACATACATTCTTATTTTTTTAATTTTTCCAATTTAAGTTGCAAGTTATAGTAAACTAACTATAGCATTTAAAGTCAAGCGCGAAACGTGATAAGTATCATCATCAGAAAATATTTCAGAAAAAAGTTTGTCTACAAGACACAACCTTGACATCATTTCACAAAACAGACAACACTTTGTTGAACATTTCGAACTAGGAGTTGCCCCTACTGCTGATCAAACTTCGGAAAACCCCCATTTAATTAAGATAGAACTGTTAACAGGCTGAAAGGATCTGATAAATGTACTACCCAAAAATGACCAATACCAAAACATTGTTCTTACGCACATGCTCACAGCGTGAAGTGACCTACACTCCAAGGTCAAACAAGCCTTTTAAATGTGACAACAAGGTTATCAAGCAAGCTTCAAACCCCATGTGATAGAAATAGAAAAGAAGTGGCTCTGAATGTTTTAACTTAGAAAAGCTACTTACCTTACAACTCAATAACTCTGATAGTAGATAAATGCAACTGAATGTAACTTCAGTGGTCCTATCAGTCAAACGAATGCAGTCTGTGGGTTGTTAGATGATTATCTGGGGGTTGTCGGAAGCCCTACACTGTGAACTCTAAGCGAAATTATTAGTGTGTAGCGGTAAATGATTACCCAAAATTATTGGCCACATCATTCATCACTGAAAATTGGATACTTACCTTCAGCGTTTAAGTCAACTTGTTTAGCTGGAGGCTTCCGGTCGAGTATCCAAGCCATTCGGTACTCTGTTGTGTCACATTCGTTCGTTCATTCGTGCACGATCCCTAGCTAGCTAAACAATCATCTCGCACTCTGATTTGGACCCGAAATATATGTCGTAATTTGGACGATCAACTCTTGCGTTTTGCCTTGCCTTTGGCCTACGCGGAACAAATACCATGAAAGTTGTGTGAATCACATTTTGCGTTAGTATCAATAGTACTATCCGTGAACGTCAATATCTTCATCCTCTAAAAGTGTAGTCCAGTTTCCCTGATATGAGTAAGACTGCTATAAGCTGACTGCATAAACAGCCTCTTTAGTTGGCTAGTTGTCTGAAATCCCGATAGGTAACGCTGTGTCTATTTCAATGGAATCTGGGTGTGATAATACCTTACCTTAATATCTAGTTATGTCATTTATTCCAAAACCTGGTTACCCCCTTCTCTGCCAAACTTCGGACCACTACAAAGGTGTTCATATCTCTTTTAAGGTGCTGTAGTGGATAATGTTGCGGGCATCCCAGTAGGTGACATATGTGCTGAAGTGTGTGAGGTTGAAATTTAATCCAGCATATGCCTTGGCTACACTCTTTATCATTCAACTGTATTTCATACGTTATCAGCTGGTTAATAGAGACTTCTGGAGTTATAGAAACGATTTCTGTTTTAATTGGTGACCGAATCTTTCATAATTATCAGGTGTAATTCTGTCAGCGTACATAGCTTACAAAATCAAAGGCTGTTTATTCTTCCAGAATCCACAACTTCCAGGCATTCAGAATATGTGTCAGGCCGGTAAAATTGATGGGATATTGCATGCGGTCATTTTAGATTATCTGATAATTTATGCTCTTAAAAACCCTTTAGTAACATCACATTCGCAGGAATTTATTTGGAAACCCCGTCTTCATTATTCGGTATGCATGAACTACACAAGCCTGGAGAAAATCTTTAAAGAAGAATGTAACATACACCAACTGAACTAAAACAATGATGCAAAGGAAGAAAAACGTTAAGTCTGCAGGCGGGGATTGGGGTTTTGTTATAATGACAAGATACACCAATTTTAGGTGGGCAGTTCAGAATTATTTTAGTGCCCAGTCACTTATCTCCATTTTGTTTATATTGTTTGATATCTTGCTCACTTCACCTATTTGGCTCGTATCTATGATATGAGGGAAAGAAATAGGGTCATATCAAAAGCATTTAATTTGTAGGGAGTACAGAAATCCCTATTAAACTTATGTCCTGGTTAGTAAAAATTACTTTCCCGGTTCAATCTGTAGCTTGGTTATTTTTGCAGTCTCAGGTAACAGGAAGACTGTCATTATAATATTATAACTTCGGATTCTGGATGTAACAAACATTTTCAGTGGCACAATTTAATTTTTCCTAGTTCCCAGAAGTCCTCATAGATTCCCACACGAATGTTCATAAAATTTCATTTTCTTCTCACACGGTGTCCTCTATGTAGTTCTCATGCTCCAAAAACATCGTTAACCATTACTACCCCACTCAGCAGCCTGATGGTGGAATTTCACACAACAGTCTTCAGAGTATGCATCGAAATAGCCAAAAAATTTAAACACGAGGTCAGATGCATTTCCTAGAGTGCTGCGATGACTGTCTAGATCGAAACTGCACGCTGTGTGTCAATGTCCAGGTCTAACTACGCTAGACTACACAGTCTCTTAATGTAGTGGAAGATTGAACGATCGATTCATGGTTGTTTGCTCAAACCCAACTCCTCCATACTTTTCCCGGAAGTCATCAACCTAGCAGTCATCGTCTCATCGTTTGCTGTTCAGCGGAAGATAAAGAACTATCAGAAAACTTGTGCATAATAACCTGCTGGTTGGCATAAAAAAAGGATTCTCGAGTCACCAATGTGTGTTCTGGTTTTTACGTTGGTTATTACCAATTGTTTCAGAAAGTCTTCCAGGGACAGCGTGAGGTCCAGCGTAGTAAGAGCTGGACATTGAAAATTTATTAGAGTTGGCTGACACTGTCCTTGGGAGGCTTCCAGGAACCATGCTAAATAACCAACGCAAAAAACCAGAACACAAATTGGTGACTCAAGAAACGTTTATTCTTTCACCAATGCAGAGCCAACCACTAGGTTATTGTACACAAATTCTAAAAATAAATTTCATAGCAATAAATCACAATAATGCTTCTGGTATTTTTCTCTGTCCTCCGACGAACAGCGGAAGATGAAAGGATGACTGCACTATTGATGACTCCCGCCAAAATATAGATTTGGGTTTGAGCAAACAACCATGAATTGATCGTTGAATCTTCAATTACATTGACACTGTGCTTCTGCCTCCGCCGTCTAACATTTTGTTCAGCTCCTCCTCTAGATGCTATTCCGTCGGCCAAATATCCAATATCGCTTTTACGAGCTAGTATAAACCAATTTGATTTCATTGTGCTCTCCTCTTGATTGTGAGGT